AGGAGGAAGAAACAGACATAGACTGCCATGTTGGAGACTTTGCACTCGCTGCTGGGGTCGTCTCAGGATCCCCCTGGTTAGACTCAGATGCAGTAGCCCCAGCTGTTCACAGCGATCACTCTCTGTCCACGGACTCTTCCAGCTGCGCCCCTGGGGACCAAGCGTGGGCTGGGACGGGCACCCACCTCAGCCTTCCGGACACCATGATGGCCACGCGGTCACAGATGGCCTCGGCCTCTGCCATGTACTGGGTGGTCAGGAGGGCGCCCCTCTCCGTGTTTCTAAAGGTGGCCCGGATCGCCTGCCTAAATTGGCAAGAGAATATTTGCAGTCAAGGAAGTCTTCTCATTAATCCAAAGCGGACAGCATGACTGTGAATGTGCAGCAGCAGGAGAGTAAGCAGGGGAGGACTCTGAGAGGGCGAGTGGGACGGGGGCCGGCAAGCCAGGTGCGAGCAGGGAGCCGGGGACACTGGAAGAGGCGCCTTTACAGGAGGCAGGACTTGTGACTAGGGTGTGTCAGGAGAGGAAGGCTGAACAGGAGGTAACTGGTGAAAAGGCTGTGATAAGGGGAACAGCGTGACACAGGATTCAACGACAGAAGTGTCATAACCTCGGGAAGAAAATAAAGGCACAAAAACATCCAGGACAACACGCAGAATCCGCCCCCTGCACCGTCTTTACTACCGGACGGGAGTGACCGTTCTCAGGGGAAGCGCTGGTCGCCGTGTGGCCGGCACAGAGGTGCACGGCAGCCCGAGGCCAGTCCGGCGGCTGTAGCGCCCGCTCAGTGCACTCGGGCCCTGACAATGCTTACTTTCCCTTCGGTGAGAAGTGGGTGGGAAGCAGTATCGGGGAACGACCTTCCTTTCTGTGTGTGTGTGTGTGTGCAGAGTACTGGTTTTACTAATGCTATTAAGAGTTTTTTCCTTGTCCACATTAAAAACAGTTTAAGGGACAATTTTTACAGGAGTAAGACAATTCAAAGATTTCCCGCAGGGCCTCTGCGCGGGCCGTGACCGGGGAGCGCCCCTCACCACATCTGCAGCTGCCCCTCGGGGTCCATCCCCGTGGA